GCTAACTATGAGGGTACCCAGCTTTTCCCCAATACCAGCTGTAGATTATGATTAGGGGTGGGCATTATTTATAGGTGATTTCATTAATTTGTGCTGGTTATAATCTATCACAGCTGTTATCAAAATGAAATTTCATCTGAACATTCAGTAAACTTAATTTCCTTAATTATTCTGATTTCCTTATCAAATATTTGTGGTATTTTTCCATACAAGAAATGTAAAATGTTTTGAAATATCAACATGCTATTTCAATGGTTTTGTGAATTATCAGACAAGTCTTTTAGTTGAAGCCAAAAGAATCTTGGATTGGTGATAATATGGGCTAGTTAAATTGGCTAAAAAAACATTCTCACCAACACAAACGACATGTTTTATGTACTGTAAGTTATCAAATCCAGCAATGGAACATTAGATAAGTATTCTCTGATTGGCTGGATTGGTGGGTGTCTGCTATCCAATGGAGTTCAGTCTTACAGGTTCCCCTAACCTTTTCTCTAACTACTTGTAATGTTTCTCTTTTCAGAGTGTACTAAGGAGGTTTAAACCACTGCTTGACAGAGTACTGGTAGAAAGATTTGCACCAGAGGTGAAGACGAAAGGTGGCATTATGCTGCCTGAGAAATCAGTTGGTAAAGTTTTAGATGCAAAAGTTGTAGCCATTGGACCTGGGGCTAAGAATCTTGTAAGTTTTGTCATCAGGATTGTGGGTTTTGAAAAACAAAAAAATTAGGTCTCTATTGTTTTGTTTTTATTTGAAACAAAGAAAAAAAGGGGTGAATTTACATCATCTTGTTTGTATATGCGCAGATCAGCTTTCTTGATGTTTCAGATATATGAAAAAAAAATAAACGCACCACCACAATGCTTTTTTAAAAAACAAATCAGAAACTGATTTTTTCACAAATTAGTGTAAATGGTATGTAGCCATAATTACTGTGATAATAATTTATTTTTCATCACTGCAAAATTTTTGTCATGTGAGAATTTTTTTGTGAAAATCCCTTGTCTTCAGGATCCATTGATAGGTTTTACTGACTAGCTAGATTCACAAACACTTTTCACTCACAATTGTTCTTGTTTACAGGAAGGTAAAGTAGTTCCAATGAGTGTGAATGTTGGAGACAGGGTATTACTTCCAGAATATGGAGGAACAAAAATCACACTTGACGAGAAAGTTAGTATATTTCAATTGTTAATGTGTTGGTGGGTGGTGTCTGTCATCACTTGTCATATCTCATTTTAGTTGCTCTCTGAAATTTCTGCAAAGTTATGTTTTTATGTTCGATTTAATTGCTGTACAAATTGTTTTTTTCCTTTGCTGAGCAATGGTTATATCAAATACTAGACATAATGTAAAGAAAGAGTGGGTGGCTGACCTTGTTTCTATGCAATAACTGATTTTTCCCATGGCATTAAACCCTATTCTGAATATATTTTTTTGCAATAATTGGCAGCTTCCACAATGTGTGTATTGCTACACTTCATTTAGTAATGATGATACAGTCGATGATTTTGAAGTCGCGAACATGAGTCCACTACGTGACCTGGCAGCTTTTGTTACATTCTTAATTTTAACAAATGTTTATTTCACTGAAATGTTCACAAAATGTGTTTTCTGTGATTTTCATGTGTTCAGCACATGAAATAAGCTAAAACCTGTACTTCTGTGCCAATGCGACACTGAGATGCATGTCTGTCCATCCACTCTTTAAAGGAGCTTTTCTATGAATTATCCCGTTTTCTGCATAAACTGCATGTAAGTTTTAAACAACTTATCTGATTGTATATTTTATGTTTCTTCGTTTTAGGATTATCATCTGTTCAGAGACGGTGATATATTGGCAAAATATGAAGCAGAGTCTTAATTTATGTAGAAGTATTTATGTAACAATGCTGTAGATATAATGAAATCATTTATATGGCAAACCTATTGTAATAGATGTCGAGAACGAGTTGCTCACATACCGGTAGTACACTGTATACTTTCTGAAGTTAAAACCAGTCATAACATTGATGTCAGTTATGTTATGTGATGAGAATTATTTCTTATTTTGGTGCATTTTTTTTTTTTTTAAGTTTAATAAATAGTTATTGGACTAAAAATTTGTGTTAAAATTTGAATGTATTATTCCCAGTGTTGAAGATGAAGTGTAGAATTATTTCCAAATATAATCTGGCATCAGGGAATTACTATTAATTGACTCCTGTATGAGTGTGGTGTCAGTCTCTTCCACTGATATCTCAAGAATCATACATCAGTTTTTGACGAAACTTGTTGCATAGATGCTCTGGGGAAATACGCAAATTTGTTTAGGTCAAATCCAAAATGTACAACTTTTCTATACATGTATATGCGCCCCTAGTGTTTCTATGATGTAAATAGGCAAAGGGGAAATCTATTCAAAGTGGACATCGTTGATTCTGTAGTTTGCATCAATGAAGATTTTATTATATTCCAAATGAAACCAAACATAGTTGTCGTTTTGAACATTGTCCATGTTACAACACAACAGAAATACCTCAGGCAAGATTAATACAAATGGTGTATTGAGAGAAGTCAATAATTAAAGCTGAATTATGCAAACTGAATTAAGGTAGAAGCCTACTCATATTTGTTGAGAAATTTGGTCATAAATCGCATGACAATGTTCATTGGTTTATTATGTAAAATCATGGAGCTATTGTCCCATGGCACCATAAAGTAGCATTCTATTGTGTGTTACAGTGACGTATTTTGAAAAACGTGCACTAAATTTTTTCAAAAATAACTATTTTTAGAACAATTCTATAGAGCGCAATGTTAAACAAAAATTGCATTTTTCAACACTTTTTAAAACCCAGATTTTTGAAAAAAATCAGGAAAACAAAAAGTAGACCATCATTAACAATATATTATTTTTTCAGCCTATGTCACCAGCCTACAATTTGAGATATGGCATAATATCTCTGCCATAGGAACCTATGGTAAAAGCACTATAATACTGCCAAAATGGCCGCTATCCACTAAAATACAACCATGATTTTCTCGAAAATTAACCTGGTGGCCCCAATTTTTTTCAAAGTCAATATTCTTATATTGCCTGGAAGTACAATATATTAAAAAATTAAGAAATTCTGGGTTTTTAAAATCATGAGTAGGCATCTACCTTATTAAGCATGGATTTCAATCTGAAACTAGGCAAGTTACATGTATTAGATTATCCTGGAGTGTCTGTAGAGTACGATGGTTGTAAAGGGAGACAGCTTTTGAAGTTAATAATTGCCCTATTTATGCAGATTAGGTAATACATACAGAATGCAACCGAAAACTAAGAACGTCTGCCGATTATCCCAGATTGGTCCGACTGTTGGGTAGCCAATCAGAGAGCAGCTTCCTTGTCGACATTGTATAAAATTCTGCCTTTTATATATGCTGCAATTCATTCAAAGAGATATCTGAAGAACAGCCCCTCACAATACTGGTACTGCCTTATTTTGTTCTGAGCAACCATTGCCATAGTCTCTGGTGTTAGATTTATTGAAAGAACCCCTATATGAGCCAAGGCATGATGCTTCAATACCCAAGTGTTCTCTAACTTCAGACAGGCGTTGTAGTGCAATTCATAATTGACCTTAAGAGCCCAAAATCAGAAATATAACGGATACCACATGCAGTTCATTAGTCATGTAGGGAGCGGTCAAGACAGCCTATCGTAATTTTGTAGACGATTGCCTTCATTTATGGACTGGGCACATAGTTCATTTCAATATCGTCAATTCAGTCTTCAGGGTGGTGCAAATATCTTGTTGCCAAAGAGAATCGTTGACCCTTTAAGACAGTGCAGTGTTGGAAGCCATTCATAGTCTGGGAACTATTGTTGTAGAACAGCTAGAGTAGTTAAAATTCTTGTACTGCAGACTCTTGTTTTTTAAACCTGGATGGTTCTACATTGCACAGTTGTACAAGCTTTCAGCATGGCTTACTTTTTATAGTTCAACTGACCATAAAATATTCAAATATGGTAGTGTTATGCTATAAATTATAATATCAATTTGTGTCAAAGCTCAAATTCAATGTTTCAATAAAATATTTACTCATTTGTTTATATGCATCAAAAGTGCACAGTAAAATTAGAGTTTCATTTCAAGTGAACCTTTCACTTTAAGACGTGAAGCATTTGTATATAAAGAACATTTAAAATTTGCCTTCCAAAAGAAACCTGGTGACTATTGGTCTGCCATTTGAGATGAACATGGAAACAATGCTGATCCACAATACTGAAGTTTATAGTGCTCTGGGAATATAAATGTTATTGTACATCTGTGGTTTTGCAGCCTGATTTATTCAAATCTATGCATTGTTGCAGGTATTAAGTTTCAGTGGAATACGATTCGTTCTTGCAATATTGTCGGAAAAGCTGAAATTAGGTTGTTAGTACGCACAGATTATAACCCGAGCCTAATCGGGTCTGTGCATTGTCGTAGAGCATCTATATACCAAGGTTCACTGACAAGTGACGATTAGTACCTTGGATATTGATGAAAAAGCCAAAAATTGATTATGCAAATTAGGTAAATAACATGCACCAGATTTTAACCCACAACTGATCCGATCTGATCATTGTCACAAAGCACCCATGTGCAAAGTTTCATCAAAATCCAACAGCAGTTCATTAGATATCCATGGAACAGCATATATATGTATATATATACATATACACACACACACACACACACACACACACACACACACACACACACACACACACACACACAAACAGGGTAACTGCAAAGATTGCAGGGTAATTGCGCGTTTTGCACTTGATGGGCGAGGTTTGGTTACTCTCGAGTCGAGTCAAGTTAAAAATTTCAGTAATAAGTAGACAGTGGAGCTTAAAAAAACTAGACGCAGTCTTCAGCACTACAAATGTCTACTGCAGTTCATTCCTGTGACTGAAAGCGTTAGCAAATTTGGGTGTTGATTTGGTTGTCTTCATTTATAGTTTAAGAAAGCAAGAGATTTCATAGTAATATTGTTTTACTGAAAACCAAAGTAAAGTATTTTCAACAACAAACAAATATTTTTGTATAACTTATAACTAACATCAGCAAAATAGCAATTTTTTTTTCAACCTGCCTGGCCTACTACCTGGTAATTTATTTGAAAACAAATGAAAATCAATGAACAGCAAGTCATGAGCAAAACATACATCAACTGATGAAAATGCAGGTACATGCATCTATTAGTTTAAAACAAAAGGCACTACAAATCCATCTGGGATATCTGTTTAAAATGTGGAACTGCTGGGCAAACTCAATTTTTCCCGATACTGTGATAACGGGTCAACATCCATTTGCTTGTAGCACCAGTAACAAAAAATCAGTAGAACACTTCAATATGCATATATTGTTAAAGTGACGGAAAATCCCAATAATTGATGATACATTCTACTAACTTTGTGCGTTCTTGAATACTTATTTGACAGTTGTGTATTACCGGTAATCAATATTTCAGTATACTTTCAAATTTGTTACATGCCACTCAATAAATACAATACAAAGCTAAAACTATTTTAGACTGACCTCAATCAGTATATACATTGTATGTATAGTGATAATACTACCTGGTACTAGTTAAAAAAAATTACAATGAACCAGAAATAAATCCAAACATGTAAATCCAACACATCAAAATGACTACCAAATCCTGATATTGTTTCAGCCATGGTAATCTACAAGACATTTATTTCTGACATGCTTGGCAATCTTTTCCCAATGTAGTGGATTTACATGATGAGTTGTAAAAATGAAATTTAAAACATATATACACACTATTCTTAGGCTTCTAATGTATGCAGATGATGGGGATAGACAGGTCAAAAACAATATTCTGATACTTCGCAGGGATTGTAAGCCTTTTGGATTGAATACCAATACAATTTATTCACATCAAAGCTATGCTATGTTGTACAACAACAGTACACTGTATTTTGTTATTTTCTCAATTTAATTATTTTCATTTGAATAATTACAAAATATAGTTAATTCCTAGTTTGTATTGCAAAGTTTTTTAAGACCTGCTGTACTCATTGACTTGGGACGTTCAATTGGGAAGCCCAATGCTCTTGACCAAATCATTGATGCCATGCAACCAAGTGCACGAGAGACTCCAAACAGTACAGTATAATAACTCATCTCTGTCATACCATAATGCTGTAAGAGAAAAAATATAAACATGTAAAATATCATGCCATAAGTTGAATATGACAAGAGAAGCGAGAGTGAATTGATGGGTTTCAAACCAGATTTTGTAGCGGCAAACATAATTGCTATCACACTCTTACTGCCAAACAGAATTTGAATCACCATGATTTGGTTTAGTTTTTTTCTAAAAATATGCAGCCCAGGAGGAGATGAATCATAAAGTAATGCAGTGCAATCCAACAACACACAAACCAGCTACTGGGAGTTAACTTAGCACATCACAAGTGCACTATATAGTAAAGCTCTATAATATATCCCTCTTTAAAAAATCTCAATGTTATTGTCTGTTACAAAATAGCTATGATCACAGACTTAATACATTTAATTTTGTTTACAAAATCTCTGCTTTGCTACCAGGGTATAAAATCATTCAAGGGTGGTGGTCGTCGCGCAGCGTCCTGTTCAATATGGAACCAACCAGCACAACGAGTGTAAAATGCATTGTTTACATGAAATTCGACTATCACTTTTCAACATATAATATAAACTCACTGTGAGTAATACACCACTATGAGCATCCACATTGGGCCATGGATTCTTGGCTTTCCCTTGTTCGATCAAGATGTCTGGAACAATTTTGTACAGTTGTGATACAAGACGGAATAGTTTATTTTCTGGGAGATGTTTCAAAGCAAACTCGCGTTGTACCAAATAACGTGGATCTGTCTTTCTCAGCACAGCATGACCATAACCAGGAACAACCTGAAAGGAAAGAGCAGAAATAAAATAAGCAATCAAACCTGCCACTACACTGGGAATAGGAAAAATAAAGCAACATCATTGTTAATGACACAGTCCCCGTCCAAAATTTTGTGATCAGACATATCAATTTGATGCTGATGAAGTCATTGAGATTAGATTGAAACCATTAATAGGAGATGGATTTGTAAAAAATTATGATTAAGTGCTTTTACACGAGAATTGGACATTGGGCAGTCATATTGAATCAAATTACAAAAATAATGTTCACGTGATGTATCTATTGGTATACTGTCTTTGTACAAAATTTAAACAGAAATCTTCATCGCATTCATGGGAAAGTAGGCATGGGTACCATTGAAAAACAAAATGGCCACCAGTCGGCCATATTTGTTCGAATCACGAAAAAAAAAATGATGTGCACCTAAAACCCAATATGTATGATCAAATGTAAGACATTATGTATTGTCTTCATGTAAAGTTTGAATGAAATCCGTCAATGGGTGTCCGGCCGGCACAAACCCAAATTAATAGTCCCTGTTTTTGGACTTCGTCCTAACAGGGACTAATAAGCAGGGGTGAATTCTTAAAAACATACAAGATATCAGTTATCAGTTTTCCTTGCCCTATCTAAAGTAAACAATTAATGGTTTACTAATGGTTAAATCCTACAAGTTATCATAAGTGATATCTAAAGCATATCATGATAATAACAAGCAAGAACCTACCTGTCCAGACTGAAGAGTATCCCAGATAAAAGCATGCATCTCCTCATCAGACACATCAACTCCAATATCTTGTTGAAGCTTGGTCAACCACAAGAGCACTTCCTATAATTCAAGATAAAGTGATAAATCATCATTTGATATATCAATTGAAGCAATAAAACACTTAGATTTGTTTCATTGTTGTAAAACAATGGCAAATACTGTTTTATACAAATGAATACCGTTGCTTGATTTATTTCACACAAGATTCATAGAAAATGTTAGAAAACTTCCATATGAACACTGCAATATAGTGAGGGATAGTCTTATTTGTGCTACCAAATTATCTAATGTTATGTAAATGGTTTGCTACAATTTGCAACAATCTCGCTTGGCTAAGTTGTTCTCTTCACATTTTAACATTGTTGTTACTTTACAAAAGAAGTTTTACATTATCCGTACAAATCGATCGCTTCAACTGTCTGGTTAGTTGATGGGGTTATTGGAACATTGATAACGACTTTCCCAGGGAAGTTGCAAGTTACAGACACAAATCTAGTTTGCGCCCACTGTAATTATTACTCAGATCAACAGGTAAAGGAAATTCCAGCTGCTAAGAGGGCCAAGACATCAACCATCATCTTGCGGGTGCACAACCTCCCTGATGCAAGGCGAGCATGCTAACCATAGTTTCACACCACATTGTCATAACTGGAACGAATCCATTTCTTTCAAACACTTACCTGGTTTGCTAAGCCATGAAGTGGACCAGCTAGACCATTTAGACCAGCTGCATACGAGAGATATGGATCTGACAGCGCACTGCCAACTAGATGACATGCATGTGCACTCACATTACCACCTTCATGATCACTATGAAGAGATTACGAGAACATTATGAATATCGGTACTGTAAACTTGTAAAACAACTCAATCCAAGATACTTATCACTGCCTTTTGTATGACTAAGGAAGACCACTTTAGGTATGCATCACAGTTTACCTGACTGAGAGCTTTTTTTTAAGGTTGAGATTGAGAATCTAAAACTGACTTCCTTTAAAGAATTCAGACCCAAAATGCAACAGAAAAATCAAATTGATGAATCCATGCAAACACTAAACTTCATCTGCGGTGAAAAGCATGTACAAGGAGAATTCAATAAGATGGATCTATGAGCGAGTTTTAGGTCTGAAAGTGGCACCACCACTAGCTATTTTACAGGCGAGACCTTGTTTCACAGTAACTCAAAATGTGATACTTATACATGTACTAAGTTTGAAATCAGCCAGTGCCAGTACTTCACTGGGTATATTGGATAAAAATCACAAAACTAGAAGCCTATCTACGAATATATAATTTATGGATTAGAGATACTGTCATGATACATTTCAAACTTACCGGTAATCAAAGATTCTTGAAGGATAACGACGAATGCAGGCTAATTTTTGAGAAGTCAAAAAAGTTTTTTGAAATTGCAAGAAAATGACGCCAAACTTAGAGATTTTTATTTAAAAGTACTTTGTTAGTGGTTTTCCCAAATGTACAAATGTTATTGAAAATACAGTACATTGCAATAATGCAGGGATATACCAGTAATCTCGAAAGCCTACCTATGGATTGTCAAATACATTCTCATCAGTTCTGTAAACATAGGATCATCATATCCCAGCATATCAGTGAAATTCCAAGACCAGTCTTTTTTAACATCAATAGGACAAACTGGTGAACCATCACGGAATAAATTACGATAAATAGTAGCAGCTATAGTTGGTAGTTTACCGATTAAATCCATTGCATCTTCATACACAAACTGTCAAATATAAGAAATTACATATAATACATTATTATCTAAATTTTCTCTGCTTTGGTTTATATTATTTTAGTCTTGTTACGCCATGCTGTTGAGGTTACCATCTATTCCTTGTCTTGTCTTGTATTGTATTGTATTTTTAACACACACAATTTTATTTGTCATATACATATATTCTCTATTCAGCTTTTAATTCTCGTTGCTAATGTATGGCTACGTTCTCACACGTCTAAAAAACGTCAGTGTTAGCACTGTTTTTTTGTTGTGCAAATATTAGATAATCTGCTGAATTGTCTGCTCGCCTTCTCACTTAGAAAAAAACAGGTGTTTGAAGATTGAATGCTGGCCTCCACCTAATATTTTGTGTAGTTCATCCCAAAATGGCATAGTTTTCGGATCTCTGTTGTGCTCACTTCCTTGTACTTTATACGTAAAGTATAAAGCCGTAGTATTGT